TGCTGGCCCTGGTGGTCACCGACCTGCTGGGCACCTGCTCCGTCAGTCCCTTCGTCCTGGCCTCCTATCATCGCAACCGCACGCTGACCACCTTGGCCCAAGGAGGACACATCTGCCTTTACTTTGGCTTTGCCATGAGCTTCTTCGGCCTCGCCACCATGCTCATCCTCTTCGCCATGGCGCTGGAGCGATGCCTGGCCCTGGGGCGGCCTTACTTCTACGAGCGCTTTCTCAGCCCCCGCACGGGCTTGGTTGCGCTGCCCGCCATTTATACCTTCTCTGCGGCCTTCTGCTCCTTGCCGCTGGTGGGCTTCGGGCGGTACGTGCAGTATTGCCCCGGGACCTGGTGCTTCATCCAGATGCACCTGGACTACCTCCAGCCCAACAGCGGCAGGGAGGGGTCCAGGTTGGACGTCACCTTCTCGCTGCTCTACGCCACCCTGCTCCTCTTTCTCATCCTCTCCGTGCTGCTCTGCAACCTCAACGTCATTGCCAACCTGGCCCGCATGCACCGCCGTGGGCAGAAGACCCGCCGGCTAGCCACGCTCGAGCAGCCCCGGGCGGCCGGTGCCTGTGGCCGACGCATGTTCTCCATGGCCGAGGAGATCGACCATCTCCTCCTCCTCTCCATCATGACCATCACCTTCGTCATCTGCTCCCTGCCCTTCACGGTGAGTGCAACCACCTCTCCCCTGGGGTGGGGTCCCTTTCCTCAGCACCCCCATTTCTCTCCCTCCCTTTATAAGGCTCCCCCCTACTCCACTGCCCAAACCTCAAGGGCTGAGGTTAATGCTTAGCTCCTCCTGAAGCTCAGGAGACCCCGGGTCTGCCACAAACTCTAGGCAATTTGCACATCCCGTGGGGATACGGCAGAATCACCCCCCATATCCCGAATGCTGGCAGGAGGATGCGATGGCAGGAGGATGGGATGGCAGGAGGATGGGATGGCAGAAGTATGGGGTGGCAGGAGGATGGGGTGGCAGGAGCAGAGGTGCCCTCTCATCCCGCAGAGGCTCCGAGGCCAGGCAGCATGGCCCAGGAAGGGTCTGGGGTAGGGGTCCCCTGCATCACATAGCATCACTGCGGTTCCCAGAAGCTGGACACTCATGGTGGAGGTGTGAGGGGTGGCAGAGCAATAAATTAGTCTTCCAAAGATGGGGGTGAAGGAGATGCTGCTGGGCTGGAGACAGTGGGTATCTGGGCTGGGTGGGCAGAGTTACCCCAGATTTCTGGCAAGAGGAAAGGATGGAGCTGGAGGTGCAGGCAGGCAGCACCAACCTCACTGTTAGATGGAGGTCTCCATCCTCTGCAACAACACTGGGACACGGGCATGGAGATGGGTGATTGCTGGGAACAGAGATCCGGCACATGGGCCACAGCATGCCTCGTCCCACGGGTTGTGCCCACATCCCGTGCCCCGTCTGTGCGCGAGGCTTCCAGCAGAAATACGGGGCCGAAACACCGCATCCAAGTGAGGAAGGGGAGAGAGCAAGTCCCCTGACTCTGCCCTGCGGTCTCCCCACCAAAGAGATGCTTTTCATCTGTCCAAGCCATATTACACAGCAGCATCACGGACTCCGGAGCACCTCGAGCCACTCGTGTCCCCTGCCTGTGTACGAGGGCCAGCCGCAGCGGGAGGTCATTTCGTTCCCATTAGAAGCGAGCCCCACCAAGGTTGGGAGCGCAGCCAGCGCTAATTTTGTGTTCACGGAGTTAAATAGACGCTACCTTCCCTTCGTGCTCCCTTTCTTTTCCCAAGGGAAAAGAAAATAACCGCAGGCTGTAGCTGAGCCAGGCTGCCTGGGCTTTAAGACAGAGAAAAGACAAAGCAGTAATGTCCGGGCGCTCGCGAGCATCCCGGGAGCCAGACTCAACATCCTGAGGACACTTCAGCTCCTGTCAATGGGCCCACGCATGATGGGCGGCTCTCCCCATGTCCCGAAAAAGCCCGGGTTTGGGTGCCGTGGTTGTTACGAAGCGGGACCCCTTGATGGGGACACGTGGGCAGGGCCCAGCGGGTCTGCTGGGGGCAGACGGGATGGGAAAGTGCCGCTGATGGGGATCCCATGGGCCCTGTGGTAGCAGATACAGTCTTATCCAGAAGCACAGCCGGCTTTTCTTTTCCCATCGCCCGGTTCCCATGTGGGGTTGTGTTTGGGCTGCGTTTTGGCAGCCTCTCAAACCCAGCTGCCAAAGGCCGCCAGTGCCTCCTTGGTGTGACACTTTCTCTTCTAGCTGGGGCTGCCCACAGCAGCCAGCCTCTGCGGAGCAGCCCGGGCGCACGAACCCAGAGAGCATCAGGCCACAGCACCGCAAAATCTTTCCCAAAAAAGCCCCAAGCCCAGGGCAGCCCTTGAAAGTGCTGCGCTCTCGGCAGCTCCGGGTACCGGCTGCACCCTGGCCACCTCGTGCCCCGGGATGCACCATCCCTGGGTGGTACCCGACAGATCCCAGCCGGAGAAGGGATGCTCATGCCTCTCGTGCTCCCAGCTCCCGTCCCCGTCCGAGCATCCCCTCTCCCCCGAAGCGAGGGGGTGGCGATTCGACCCGTATGAGTAAGGAGTGCTGAGTCACCCTTCCAGGAAGCCCCGTGAGCTGCTATGAGTCGGCATGTTGCAGGAAGGACCGGAGCGGTCCAGCACCCCGCATCCTCTCCGTCTTACATGTTTATTTGTCCCATGTGGTTTTCAAGGTGAGACCCACCACTTCCTTAAGCAGCCGTTGGCTTAATTGCGTTAGGGCTAAACGAAGCCTCACTGCGTGCTGAGAGCAGAGCACAAGCCTGGCTTTCGTTAGCAAAAGTTCATTTAAACCGGTGGAAGCAGAAAGTGTGCTGTGACAGCCCAAATCTCCCCAAGAAGCTGCCCAGGGGCCGGCTCCTGGAAGCCCAGACCCGGCATTATTTCTTCCGTCATGTTTTACAGATCCGTGCCTACATGAACAAATTCAGCGAGGAAGAGGACAACCACGACTGGGACCTCCTAGCCCTGAGGTTTCTCTCTGTTAATTCCATCGTCGACCCTTGGGTCTTCGCCATCCTGAGGCCGCCGGTCCTGCGGTTCATGCGCTCTGTACTGTGCTGCCAGGTGACCCCCGTGAGCCAGGACAGACAGACTCCGTCCCCCACGAAGACAAAACTGGCAGCACGGCTGGACCCCTGTGGGCAGTAGATCCATCGGTCTTTCCAGGAGATATCTGCCAGGCTGGGATGAAGAACAGCCCTGGCAGATGTTAATGAAGCTCTGCCTTATGGCCCGTAAAGAGACGTATCTGCTGCAGGGGCCAGGTCCGGGTGGCCTGGCCAGGTGTCTGGGAAGCCCCTGGAAAGCCAGTGCGGTCTCTCGCAGGGCAAAAAATACAGCGGGACAGGATCGGAAGGGCTGATGAGGACCTGGATGTCGCTGTCGCCATTAGACAGAGCTGTTTGCAAAGGGTGCAGGCTGTGCTTGGCCACGTTGCGGGAGGGTCAGGGGGGTGAAGTGTGGGGGGCTTTGCTCTAACACTACTGCTGTGGGGGCTGTGTCGGGGAGCAGAGCTTCCTGCTGCTGTGCTTCCCAGCAAGGTCCCCGCGGTCGTTTCGGGCTAAAGGCAGTGTGCAGGCAGGAGTGCGGGTGCTGGAGATGGGGCTGGGTGGCCACCGTTGCTGCAAGCACCCGTCTCTGCCCCCAGGTCCCTAGGGATGGGGCAGGAGAGGAAGGGAGCAGTGTATCCCCAAATATTCCCCTTTATTTGGTAGGCTGATTGCCTAAAGAAATGCACTTTATCAGATCTGTGTGCATGTGTCTGTCTGTCTGTCTGTTCCCCGTCCCCAGGGATTTTAGGCTCCTGTGGGTGCCAGCCCAACATGTCTGAGGGGCTCCGGAGCGGAAAAAAAGCCAAATTGTGGCACTTCCCGTGCGCTGTGATGGCAGCAGATCCGTGCAGCCCCTCCTAGGCACCCATTTTGCAATTTTCTTTGCCCCGTGGTTTGTGCAGGAGCCAACAAGGGGAATAAAGAGCCCGACTGGGGAACGGGAGGTTTCGGTCACAGCCATGTGCTTTGCCCACATCCACGGCGATGCTGCTGGTGGGTTTTGAGCTGACACAGGGAAAGGCTCATCCTCCCGGGCTGCCCGGCAAAGTGCCCTTGCACGCCCTCCTGCCAGCCTGGGACAAACCTGCTCAGGGGCATCACTTCTCTAGAGGTTTAATTTGAGAAAAAAAAACAACCCCAAAACCCAAAAAAACCCCCAAACACCCCCCAAAACCCCAAAACCCAAGTACAGAAACATCCGGGTCATCAATCCTGCCCCGTCGGGCAGCATCCTTCAGCACTGCTATTCTGTTTTGTGGGATGTGCCTGTTGCTCTTCGGGGCTCCAGGCTGGTCCCCACTGGGGGAAGGAGCATCCGACCTGGGTTTGTCCGTTAGGGGTTGCTGGGGGGCTCGTGGTTCCCGTTCCATGCAGCATCCAACAAAGGCGATGTCGTCGTGCTATTGCAAGTGGGGCGTCTCGTTGTCCGTTTGAGAGCTACAGCTCTGCTCAGAAAGCCCAAAGGTGCCGAGATTTGGAGCTTGTCTATGGTTTGCTAGTTGAGGTGATGTAAAAAAAAAATATATATTTAAATAATAAATGTCTTTCAAAGGAGCCTGCTGAATCATGTGTGGATTTGTACTGAAGATGCACCTCAGGGTAGATCTGGCTCCTGGAGGAAATATGTCACCTGCCTGGAGCACGGGTGGGATGAAGCCTCTGGGATGGGGGGAGAGGGCAGGAGGGGAGGCTGAGGGGGGAAATGTGTGCTTCTAATTTCCTAAAAAGAGAAAAAACCCCATGTTTTATAAATGCGCGATGACATTTTTGCCTTACC